ACCCGGTGTCGGCACCATCGGCCCGAAAAGTTCAGATACCATGACTCGGCCTTCCCTGGGGGTCATCAATATTAGACCATCACATGAGTTGGACATCCTGGAAAGAAGATGCCGACAAGGTCGACTGACTCATACATAAGTCGAACCTTGCCTGCTCGCAGAAAGGCGCTGTTTCTTGCCTGCAATGCCAATTTCGGGCATCATCGGGGACGAGCCCGACAACAGACACAAGCGGACGATTCACCGCCCATTATTCTGCCTATCAGTTGTCGCAGGGCTCCTATCAAATGCACGTCAACCCCCTCGAAACCTCAAGATTCTACTGCACCACAAGAATATGGCGCACATGGCGGCCGTCCATTGAGCTTCGATCGGTCATAGATGCCGGCAGAAGAAGGGCCGCAACTCCCACCTGTATACCAGTTTTCTTTCATTCCTCACGACAGTTCAAGTGAATTTGAGTGGTACACATATATAAAAGCGATGCCGGATCTCAGAGGTCACGCTAGTTTCTCTTGATTTCTCTCCTAGCTTTCGACTTTCGCTACCTAACATCAGTACTGTCCCCTATTTCTCTCGTCTATCCTAGAGTTTACAATCGAAACTGTACAACTCATGCTATTAAAACATGGGCTCCCAACCTAGCACGACGCCAATCCGTCTCGCGATCCTGGAGGCCGATACACCGGTGCCCGGCATCCGGGCGAAATATGGAGGCTATGGCGGGGTATTCACCCATCTATTCAAGCGGGCATGCGATTCGCTCAACCCGCCGCAATCCCTCGAGTCGCAGCTCGACCTCTCGTCCCACGACATCGTCAACGACCTGTCCTCGTACCCCGACCCCGAGACCCTCGACGCTGTGCTCATCAGCGGCTCCAAGCACAACTCCTTTGAGCACGACGAATGGATTCAGAGGCTCGTGCAGTATACGAAGCGGCTGCTCGAGGGCGGGCGCGTGAGGGTCATCGGGGTCTGCTTTGGGCACCAGATCGTCGCGAGGGCCATGGGGACCGAGGTCGGGAGGAGTGTGCGCGGGTGGGAGTTGAGCGTGGTTGAGATGAGGCTTACGGAGGAGGGGAAGAAGATCTTTGGGAAGGAAACTCTGGTTCGTCTCCTCCATTGCACACATACAGTCATACGCCAGCCCTCCATCCACCCAAGTGGACCAAGCTAATGAGCATGCGCGCCCCCAGAAAATCCAGCAAATGCACCGAGACGCGGTCTATTCTCATCCCCCGGGCACGATACCGCTCGCCCACACGGACGTCTGCGCTGTCCAGGGCATGTATATACCGAAGAAGCTGATTGCGGTGCAGGGTCACCCAGAGTTTACCGAGCCCATGATGCGTGAGATCCTGAATATGCGGCATGATGGTGGCATCATCGCTGACGGGTTATTCGAGGATGCCATGAGCAGGGCTGCGAATGAGCAGGATGGTGTCGCTATTGCCCAGGCTTTCTTGCGGTTTCTGCGGGAGTAAGTCAGGTCTGATCAGTATACCAAGGGAAACTAGTATAGACCGTGGTTGCATGCAGGCCGTCAGGTAGACAGCGTTACGGTGGATTCAAATGCACATGGCATTTAGCAATCGTTACGGCAAACAACGGCAAGGCTCATTTCCATCATTTTGGTACTCGAGTCTTCTCGACTCTCTAATGTAAGTCATTAACGCCGCCCGATGCTAATGGATGATCCTCCTTGGAAGAAATTGCCTTCTAGCGCCGATTTAAATGCCAATACTATGCAGCCGTCCGATGTAGTCACTAGGTATAGATGCTGCCCTTCTTTGGTGCACCTTTAGTCATTCGTGATCCCATCAGACTGTGATTCAAGTTGACCATCCTCCGCATCCCACCATTGCCTCAGACGTTTTATGGGCCTACTCCTCTCCAGCGCAGCTGTGGCTTGATGTTCCATATCTTCTTGAGTCCGTCTTTGAATGGCCGCAGTTGCATCGCGAAGCTCTTCTTCTCTCGTTCGGCCACCGGCGATTCTGCGTCGAGGTCTAAGCTTCAGTCTCCTCGCGAGGCCCTCCCAGAAGCCCCCTCTAAGATGCCTCCAAGGCTTTTCCCAAGCGCTGAAGAAACAGCAGTCAATTGCAGCGCCTAGACACAGACTCGCGACGTTCATCAGTAGTAGCGCAAAAGGCTGGGATGCATCGTCATCGTCATCGTAGCGATAGACGTGCGAAATAAACGGCGCGATCCAGGCGGCTACGTAAATCAAGGGGTATATAAACAGTAATCGCAATTGTCGGCGCATCCTATCCCGGGATTTGCGCAAGGCGGCTTCGGTTGTGGACTGGGTCAGATATACTGAAGGCGATGAACTGGCAGCGTCATTGTCTGAGTTTCTAGGCGGCCCTCTGTGAAGGATGCCGCGAAGACTAGGCAAGGAATCAGCGGTGGTACTATGACGCATGGAAACTGGCTTCGATATCGAACGACTGACCGACTGGCCGTTCAAATTTGACTGTGTTGCCACGGGTGGTGTTTGGTGGCACAAGGCCGGTCGAATTGGTGATGGGAGGGTATCCTCTGGCGTCTCGGCGGTAAATGAAGCCAACGTAGGGGAAACCAGATTCGACAACGATCGTTCTCGTCGGAAATGCGATTGCGAAGTGTCGTTGTAGTCTGCCTCTACCCAGTTCCATGATACTAAGCAGTTTTCTTGTCGTGCTTCTTGCAGTAGGGAAAGAGATGTGGTATCCTCGTCGTCCAGTGTGAGAGAGCTGACATCCGAGACAGCGGATTGCTGTCGGTCTCGTTTCGTGTTTGCTATCCTACTTGGCGAGGGTTCTCTGAGACCGTGATGAACTATGGGCGGGGTGGGAGGAACGTCCTGAATTTGCTCCCGGCGATTGCGTCGTTCCTTGTGTGCGGAACCGCAGCTGTGAGTGCTTGCCCGTCTCTGATCCTGCTGAAGTCGTCGAAACCGGCAGCCAACATATAGGTAAACCCAGCCGTAGACAAGAAAGATGACCCCAAAAATGATGTAACGAGGAATCCAACTCAGGCTCGTTCGATACCATAAGGGTTTTGTGGGAAGGTAGCAATGTGGCCCGGTATCCACGAAATGTCCACCTGTAATCGGAACAATTGCCGCCAGGAGTATGGGCAGTACAAACCAGAGAGCGTAGGCATACCGTCGATAAGGGTATAAGCCTGTTTCTCCTCCGGATCGGCGGGGACGAAAGATATACAGAGCCGAGTGAATAGCTATCATGAGAACTGCTATATCCGCCGACTCGATTGCGGCAGTCAAAAAGAAAGCGCTGACTTGACAGAACGCAGTCTCCGTCCTAATCGGGCCAGAAATGAAATAGATTATCGGGCAGACCATAAGCCAGAACGCTTTCATCATGTCGCTTTGGATGAGGAGCATGATCAAGCTTCGGTGTTGTTAGTGCATGGCGCTTGTTCATGGGAAGTAGGTAGCATTCGAAGACCTACTCCTGTCTAAAACTCCTTCTCATCCTGACGAACCAGTAGAATGCAAGGAAGGAAAAGATGACACTGGCAGTTGCAAAAGTGAGCGAGACTGCTTCGAGAGTGTAAATCTGGTCGGACGTGAGATTGGCCGTTGCAAGTCCGTCTCGTGTCTGGAGAACTCCATGATGCTGGATATCGGTGAGGAAGACATTGGCCGGGTCCCCAATGGGAGACATCCTCTTCTTTGACCCCGGATGTTCTTGACCGTCAAGTGCTGGCCGAGGGTCGAATTCTGCATTCTAACCGGATGTGCTGGTGAGGTAGCGTGGAGAGGTATTTCAGTCTCGAGGTGTACAAGACCGCATCGCGAGATTGGCAGGTCTACCCGGTAAAGGCAAATCTGACTGACGTTCAGCAGTTTTGAAGCAATCTTCCCAACAAGAAATTTCCAAGAAGGAGCAATTCCAGGCCGTTGGTCAGACACAGCCCGTTGCTTCTCAAAGCGGCGCTTCCTGTTGCTAAACTCAAGTTGCCCGCTAAAGGGAACCTTGGGAGTTTACGCCGCGTCTAACTTAGCCAAAGTTTCTGTGTGTTCGGACAAGAGGGAGCTTCGCGAAATGAAACCTTAGATTAGGAATTCGAGGAAGTTAGGCAAGTAGTCTAAATGTTTACAACATGGCGTATGTCCATTACGGAAAGAAGAACATGACGATGCGCAAAGAGAGCAATACTAGAGGTAAGGAACAAGGTCCTTCGTTCATGTGGTCAAGTCCCTTGGGCTGGAGATCACCATCCGATGTCTCTGGCCGATCCTAGAGTCGGGATTCTTCGCGTAGCCAGGTTAACGACGCCATATTTGCTGGCGGTGGGGAGAGCCTAGGATCACCGCTCATTGATGAGGCTTATGAGACGGCCAGCAATGATTCGATGGCCTCAGATCGACCGCTTCTTCGTGCTGGCCGTCTTTCACCTGCCGCCACTACGTAGTGGTTGCGGCGCTACGTGAAATCACTCGGCTGACGCAACAACCTTGGTTTTGCCTGTGACCCAAGCTTGTTCCGTACCTAATATCTGAGTTACGAATACGATAGATGATATGGCAAATTTATTCAGATGTTGTGAAAGATGTTGTCACTCCAACACGGAACCCCGCAAGATCCTCAAGGATCATCCCATTATTGTCTCAGGGAAAGAATTCGTTCTTCAAAGCCGGCATTTGGATTTGGAGCGGACCGGCAGGCTGGGATACGATGCTGGTGCGCTAAAGGGACCCCACTGATGATGTGGCGTCTCATCATGCAGCGTTGAACGCTCTGGCCCCGACTACCTTCTGTTAGTCAAAAGACTAAACGTTAGATGCCACTTTCGTAGTTTCGCAGCAAAGCTTGCAAAGCACCAGAGATGCTCTAATATATACGCTTTTACATATATTTTTTGAAATTCGTTCAAAATATAATAAAAAAAACTTCGTTTTATTATTTTATTATTAGTGATTTTATTTTAAAACTAAGAGAAAAAAACAACGAGCTAATTAACTAAATATTAAAAATGTAAATAAAAAGAATTGCTCTCGTTGTGGATCGAACACAAGACCTCGTCATGTCTAAACGGAGCGGTGGCTCTACGAGTGACGCGCACTACCACTGTGCTACGAGAGCTAACAATGTGTTACAAGTAAACTAAACTGTTGGTAGCGAAGTTGGTGGTATTGAAGCATATTTGGCATTATGCAATTTGATGCATTCTTGCAACTGCGAGCAGCTGGTGATATAGGTTAGCTTAGTATAGTAACAGACTATGTGGCTAACGAGGTTTCGACGACGTAATTAGATTAATTCACTACTTAAGTAGGCAGCATAACGTCTCGGTATTACTAGCTTTTTCCTCATTATTTAAACGTAGCTTTCCTTTGATATACTATTAACCTTAAGCTTTGCTATATCTTAATATTTCAACCGCTCCGTCTCCGTGCTATTAATCTATCTACTCTCTCTTATAAATCAACGGGTAGATAATATCCGTGCGTTGCACTCCGAGCGTTGAGTACTACTCAAGCATTCGTATATCTCGACTCACCTCAGTTCTTCGGATTGAACAGCTGCATGGAAGTTATCACTGACACCTTGGGTAAGATTCCGCTGCTTGGCCGGTAGCTGACCAGCCCCTTCACTGCCGTCCTAAGACCTGTCTATCTATCTTTCTACAACGTTTTTTGGAAACGATTCTGTTACCAAGTAAATTAAGATGTTCCTAACCTAGCATTTGATTTGTTATACTAGCGGAAGTGGAATATCGAACAATTGCGAGTTGTGAAGAATACCGCAGTCCAGTACTCAAGAGTGGTAAGAACATCCGGCATATCCCAACATTGCCGCAACCTTAGCATTTGCCGGCATGCGGCATGCGAGCGTAACATTGCAATCTGGGACACGGCATTCGAGTAAAGCTTGATTGAAAAGAACTTACACAGCCAATGTACCGTATCTTGGTGCTTTCAATGCTTCCCTCTAATCGGCTAAACTCCTCATGGCTGCGAATAACAACCTTTGATAAGCTCCGTAGAAACACTGGTATTTAAGCCGTATCAGCCTAAAGAGTGCTCCGTCAGTATTCGATCTTCTATTGGGTAGAGATTACTATTTTATTTGCGAGCAACTAAATCAATGTATCTTCTTGAGTGGAATCTATGGCTGTAACCAATACTTTATCTGGCTTACGCGGCCAAGCTTTAGGCGCATGCGAGCCTATATTGCAACCAGACTCCTGGATCAACCTCAATACCGAGATATATAACGAGCTCTCAATTGAACTCCACAAGCATGCGTGTAGACCTGTCGCATTGACTCCATCGATTTGAGTCCCTAGGTCTGAGGCTACGAATATTCCGCGATGGACCTCCTCCGGTGGGCTCTTCTCCTGTCCTCTATCCAAAGAGCCCAAGTGCTATCGATGCCAAACTGCCCTATCTATGGCGCCGAATTCCCCAAGCCTGGCGGCTTGGAGGAGAACCCAATCTGGAAAGCAGCTATGCTGAATCTGTCGAACACATTCGACGCAGTAGAAATAGCTGCAACCAACTGCTCGTTTTCCGTCCAGGTCTTCTCCACGAACCCCGGTTCTCCGATTCTCTTTGAGAGGTTTCACACAGCGCAGAACCTACCAGGCAACTCAACAGGTGTGAAGAAGGTTGACGCTGATACGGTCTATCGTATTGGAAGCGTTACCAAGCTATTCACAGTCTTAACATTCTTGGCCGAGGCTGGGGATAAATATTTTAGTCATCCGATCACCGAATTCGTACCGGAATTAGCAACTATCAGTAGCGAAAGAGCCACTGAACAGTTGGACAACGTGCGAACGATAGACTGGGACGATATCAATATCCTATCGCTGTTATCCCAGATGTCAGGAATTGAACGTGACTGTAAGTGTTGCGAAATGCATCCTCATAAATATTTAACTGAAAAGGTCTCTGTATTAGATTTGATCCTTGGGGAAATTGTTGGGGCCGTAGACCTTTCTGAAGCGGTTGACCTTGGATTCCCTCATTTAGATCCTAAAGAGATTCCTGACTGCGGAGACTCCCCTCTCTGCAACCGCACGCGTATGTTCATGCATATCATACTAGCCCATGGAATCCGAGCTAATTGGTAATAGAGTTCTTTGAAGGGCTAAAAACGGCTTATCCTTCCTTCGCCCCGTGGACAACACCAGCCTATTCGAACATTGCGTTTCAAATTCTTTCCTATGCTCTGGAGAACATTACAGGCAAATCGTTCATATCCTCTCTTACTGATAGTGTCCTGACTCCACTCAACCTGAATCGAACATACTATTACTCTGCGAATGAATCTGTTGGCATCATTCCCAGGGAGGTAAACGAGACCAGCTGGAATGTCTATATTGGCGATGAAAGCCCGTAAGTATCACCTATGATTTCTTCTGAAGTGTAACGGCATCCCACCTTAGAGAGGAAGAGTTTTCAGCTCACATCTTCATATGATAGTTCGGGGAATATGTTCTCATCAGCCCGGGATCTGTCCAGCTTTGGCATAGCAGTCCTTAACTCAACTCTGCTAAGACCATCTTTGACACGCCGTTGGTTGAAGCCAGTCACATTCTCCGCAGACTTTGTCGCAGCAGTCGGTATGCCATGGGGTCTTAGACGTCTACACCTCAGTGACACGAATCCTGCCAGGACCGTAACCGCCTTCACCAAGGCAGGCGGGGTTGGAGACTACTCCGCTCTCCTATCCGTGATCCCCGAATTCGACATTGGGATTGCGGTCCTGGTCGCGGGTGCGGACACTCCTGGTGTCGTTTGGTCCATCGCTGATTACCTGGGCGCTGTGCTACTTCCCAATTTCGATGCGGCGACGCGAGACGATGCCAACTCGAAATACGGTGGAACTTACCAAGCTGATCCAGCGAGCAACCTGACTTCGTCACTTCAGATCACTACCGACCCTGATAGACCGGGTTTGGGTGCGGCATCGTGGATCAGTAACGGCACTGACATGATCCCCATAGCGGAAGCGTTTCAGTCTGGTCTGTCGGTTGCGTCAGATCCCGCTGCCTCGAATTCTACCCAGCCTTCAGTACGGTTATACTACACCGGGCTGGACTCAACTGGATCGGATGGGACCACTCTGAAGTCGTTCAAGGCCGTATTCGAAGACCTCGGGTCTCCGACAGACGCTGGAAATGGATTCTCAACTGATTGCGGTAGTTGGATTGATTACACTGGAGTCACTTACGCAGGTTTACCCCTCGACGAGTTTATCTTCGAACTCGACGAAAACGGGGATGTATTCAGTGTAAAGAACCTAGCTTTGAATGTTACTTTGAGGAAAACGGAATAAGGGCAAAAGGAAACATTTTCTACCAACGTATTTACAGTACTTAATTGTTAAAGGCTTTGAAAACTCGTTTGAGTAATCTTAGACGCACGCAAATAGAAGATGTCTGGCACTCAATTTCCCACCTACTTAGAAAGACATTCTCTGATGAAACTGGGACGGCTATGCCTCCTATCTGTTGAAGTGTTTTCGTCTACCTGAATTGACACTCGGTTTATGATTTCGTTTTAGGATCGTCCAATGTCTATGTGTCTAACAATCGACCAATCAAAAAGTCTCGGGGCAGCTATGACAAGACTCAACATTCATAGGTATAGGTCGTCTACGTCTACAGTACACGACTGCCTTTTTTACGGTTATAGTTCATCCACCACACCATAGAGTGCGATAAAAATGGGGTTGACTACAGTGAGCATTTTGGTCGTGAAATCTAGCGAATATGTTACAGCAACAGGACACCCAACTAGTCGCACATTTGAGTAGCAGATAATAGTACCAGAAATAGTGAAATTCTCGGATACCGTGTCGAATTTCAACGATTTACGAAACGTCAAGCTGACAATGTCAAACAAAGGATAGATGGTATTCATTCCGTGAATCACTAGAACCATGTCTTCGACGCAGTTCAAATAAGACTTTGGGAATATGTGTAATAACAGAGTCGTATGACGAGCTTTCAGGAGAAAACGTAGATAATATAAATTCGAATTGTCTCGAGAATACAATAACTTGTCAAGTATGACTTGGATTTCGAGTACCCATGAGACTTCGCTCATTGGCTGCGGGTGTTGCCGAATGTCGAGTGGCAAACACGTAGTGGGGGGTCCTCCTCTGGTGACGTCCCATGCCGGTGAGCGACCTCATCCGAACTACCATTTCACCTCTCGCTACCACTTGCAAACGAGGGAGTTGCAACATCATTCGGTCTATCCATCTAATCCATAGGTCTATCTAATTATCTACTCCGCGCATTCAGCCCTGAATGGCATCACGTGAGCTAGACCTATTTGCTAAAGCTAAAAGTCAAAACGGCATTTGACTTGTGCCATCTGTTCCGTTGATATCGGCTTCCATCGCAGCATCCATTCAATGATGGCCGTTTCGTGAAGTACTGGCAGGCAGCTCAAAGTACTTGCATCTCTTAGTGCGTGTTGATCCGTTTGCATCTTCTATGCGCATCCTCTAGGACTTTGAGTCCTTTGGGGTTAAGCACTGCCCCTCAGAATCGGCTATACGTATCATCATACAAACTCCCTTTACCGGCATTTACGAATCGATCAATAGAGAGCACTGCCGCAGGGATTCCCGCCAAGTTCTTTCGTCCCTTGGTAAAACGAATTCGTGCATTCTGTTTCCACACTGCTTCGAGATGGCACTTTCCACAACCGGAATAGGTCTCTTACCAAACGAGGTATGGACTTGATGAATCGACGCAATGCTTCAATACTGACACTTTCAAGATCCTCATCCAGGTCCTCGAAATGTTTCCCACTGGCTCGCTGCTTCCTTTGGCAGCCATCTGCCACAGCTTCTATGCGTTGGTGTCCCGTGTGCATTATAATCGACTTGTCGAGGCTATCGCTTTACAGGACCACGAGATCATCTTGGAATGCTACCATCCCAGTGTGAAGATCTCGACGCCTTATTTATTCTGCAACTACCTCGGTACTGATGGACTTCAAGAGACGGGGATGAGCCCCACTTTGAGAGGAATGAGTGAGCTCTACTCGCGGTTCCGACCTGTGCTAGGGGAGGAGAACCGGCGAGCTCGTGCCAGATACCCGACCAGGATGGTCATC